TTGACAGAATTGAGTTTTGTGTTCAGAAAATTGAGTTTTGTGGGACAGGATTGACAGAATTGAGTTTTGTGTTCACAAAACTCATTTTTGTCAAGTTTATAGGTACAAAAATGCCTGTCCTGCATGGCGCCCCGTACGACGTGGGTTGGTAGATTTTATTCATGCGAATGTTTTAGGAAAAAATATTGTTGCAGTGTATTTCAGTAGGTGTGTGTATGCGCGCGCGGGTGTACGTTATGAATGTATGTGCTGTGCGCGCGTGTGTACGTGCGTGCGCGAGTGGGTGCGTGCGCGAGTGCGTGTGCATGTGCGTGTGCGTGCGCGTATACGTTTTATTATATTTAGCCTGTCAAAATATCTCCCGACACTCGTTATTCGTGTATATAGTATTTAAGTATTTAATGACAAGAATACATGCGTTTGTCATGCTCATATCGTTTGTTATATTGATCGAGTTCCTATTGCTCAATTTGTGGTTGAGCATTTTCCCGCCTATGATTTGTGATGCATCGAGCTCAGTTGTTCTGCTTCTCGTATGAACAATATGCTTCTCTACATGAACTATAGCATGCGATTTTGAATAGAAATGTCCTCAAGGAGATTGAAAACTGACCAACTAGATATTCGCTTATGATGTAATGATGACGACACAAAAAACTGCGCGTGTCATAAATGCGCGTGTCAACTAATTGCAGAATAAAAACTTGCTATCGATACTTGCTTGCTTCCTTTGATATAGCCAATAGACGCGCGCACACAAATATACACGCACGCACACACGCGCGCGCACACAAATATACACGCACGCACACACGCGCGCGCACACAAATATACACGCACGCACACACGTGCGCGCACACAAATATACAGACACGCACACACGCGCGCACACACAAATATACACGCACGCACACCCGCGCGCACACACAAATATACGCGCACGCACACACGCGCGCCCACACAAATATACACGCACGCACACATGCGCGCGCACACACAAATATACACGCACGCTGAAGTTAAACTCGACTGCCATTTCACTCGAATAGATAGCGCCACGTAGAACGGTATTTAGCTTTTATAGCCCACTTTACGAAAAATGCAGATTGGCTGGAAGTATTTCCTAACTACACAACCCGTTTTATTTTTCCACGCTACCGCGCAACAGAGGGTATATTAATTTAGGATTGGGTGTATTATTCTAGGATTGGGTGTATTAATCTAGGATTGGGTGTATTAATCTAGGATTGGGTGTATTAATTAGTATGGTGTGTATAATCTCTAGAATTTCGGCTTGTCTATTTAATCTAGAGATTGGGTGGTATTGCATCTAGTCATTGGGTATAATTATTAACGTCTAGGATTGGGGATTGTATTAAATCTAGGTTGAGTTGTATAATCTAGGATGGGTGGGTGATTAATCTTAGGATTGGAGTGTATTCAATCTTTAGATGGGTGTATTAATCCTAATATTGGTGTTTCACTAGGATTTGGGTGTATTCATCTAGAATGGGGTGTATTAATCTAGAATTGGTTGTATTAATCTACGTATTGGGTGTATTAATTCTAGGATTGAAGTGATTAATCTAGGATTTGGGTGTATTCATTAGGAGTGGGTGTATAATCTAGATGGGGTTGTACTTTATCTAGTATTCGGTTGTATTAATCTGAGGATTGGGTGTTTAATCTGAGGATTGGGTTGTATTAATCTGTGAAAGATTGGGTGTATTAATGCCTAGGAAATCGGTGTATTAAATCTAGAATTGGGTGTATTAATCTAGAATTGGGTGTATTAATCTAGTATTGAGGTGTATTAGATCTGTAGCTATGGGGGTATTAAAATCTCTAGGGATGGTGTATTAATTTCGGATTTGCAGTTATGCTCGGACAGATGTTTCGAAGAGACAGAGAAGTAGGCCTGAAATTGTTCGCCTCATATATAATCTAATCAATCATCTCCCTCTCTCGTAGCAACACACCACCACCCAGCGCGCGCTGGCGCACGGCGCATAGCGGCACCACCGACACGCCACACGCACACTCACACGCACACGGACACCAACACACAATGTAATACTTAACAACATATGGGCTGATCATGAGTAGGGTTAAAGCGGAATCTAGGGTGCATTGAGCATTTAAAACTACATGGCTGTTTGTATTTGTAACGGGTAAACGTATAAGCAAACAAGTGGAGATTAAGCTATATAGGTCTGAGGTTTAGTGCTAACTTGTGTTGGTTTAATGCCCAGAGTAATAAACACGTCATAATGAGTTTCTAGAAAGGGAATTCACGGTTTGAGTTGAATGTTAGATGTGAATATTTTTTTATCTTCCATTTCTATTTCTCTCTCTCTCCTTTTTCCCTCTCCTCTTTACTCTTTTCTTATTCCCTCTCCCTCGTTCCCAATGCCCTTCCTCTCCCGTCCACTTTTTCGTCATATTACCTCACTTGCCTTCGCTTTCCTTTCTCACCTCACCATTATCTCCTCCTATTCCTCTTGCTCTCATGGCTTCTCCCTCGTCGCCCCACATTCCTTCTCCCCAATCTTTTTAAATTTTCTTTCTTCCGTTTTTGTTAATCTGCGATCCTCCAATCCTGGCGGTTTCCTGAAATCTACCATGCTTATTGGCCTGCGCTCTTTGTTGTTCTCCCTCTCCTCTCCCGGAAACATCTCCTCTCTTCTTTTCCCTCTCCCCTCTTAACGCTTTTTTCGCCCACACACTGCTCTCTCCCATCGCCCGACACAGTACACGCGCACTGCTCTCCTCTCTCTCTCTCTTTTTGCCTGCGCCGCGGGATTACTCAGTACCCTTCTTCACCGAGTGCGCGTCACACCGCCTCTTCTCGGGTCTATTATCCCGCTGCAAGCGCCCGTTGGCCTTTTTCCTCTCCGCCTTCCCTCTCCCGTTTCCTTCCTCTCCCATCCCTCTCTCTCTACTCTCTCTCTCTCTCTCTCTCTTCTCTCCCTCTCTCTCTCTCTCTCTGCCTCTTCTCTCTTCTTCTTTCTCTTCCCTTCTTTTCTCTCTCTTTTATCTCATCTATTCTAATCTTTTTTATCCCTTCTTCTCCCTCTCTGCCCTCTTTCCCTCCTTTTAACCTCTTTCCCTTTTCATCCTCTTGCCTCCTTTCCTTTTTCCTTTTCCTCTTTTTCCTCTTATTCCTGCTTCCTCTTTTCCTGCTTTTTCTTTTCGTTCTTTCCTTTTTTCTTTTTTCCGTCTTTTTCCTTTTTTCCTCTTTTCCTCTTTTCCTCTTTTTCCTCTTTTTTCCTCTCCCTCCTCCTCTCCCTCACTCCCTCTCCCTCTCCCTCTCCCTTTTCATCCCTCTCCCTCTCCCTCTCCCTCTCCTTGCCCGTCTCCTCTCTCTCCCTCTCCCGTCTTCCCTCTCCCTCTCCCTCTCCCTCGTTCTCTTCCCTTTCCTCTCCACGGCCGCTTTTAGTTGCCTCTCGCCCACACATGGCCTTCGCCCCGCGTCGTTCATCCTCTCTCCCTCTCCTTCTCTCTCTCTCTTCTTTCTCTCCTCTCGCTCTTCTCTCTCTTCTCTCCTCTCCCACTCTCTCTCTCTCCCTCTCCCTCTCACCCTCTCTCTCTCTCCATCTCTCCTCCCCCTCTCTCCCTCTCTCTCTTGCTCACACACGCCTTCGCATTCTCTCTGTCACGAGGAATTCTTCATCATCGCACGCCAAGCAGTAGAAGCCAAGCAGAGCGCTCGTGTTGATCTAAGCTCGTTGATCAACCTCTCCGCTCACTGTTGACTCTGCCTTTAATTTTCTGGACTTTGTTATCGTTAAGGCGCGAATTTAGCGGCTCGCCGATGACCATATTACATCGAGACCTAATATCTCCACTCTAATAACAATTATTCGCTCTTCTAGAGGCAATTTAGCGCGGCTTAATATCACAAGTCTTTGTTCCGACTTGTATTCTTTCGCTCAGATGTATTACATGTATTTACACGAAAAATCTATACGACGTGTTTGCGTTGGGCACGTAATCAATGGATAATGTAGACTCTATGTTTGTCTTCAGTGTGTTAGCTTAGAGCCATGCACAAGTTTCGCAGCATCGTGTGCAA